GGCAGTCAATTGCACACAGCAGTGTCCCACAAACAGACGTGGATTGAGTGACCAAATTATTATTATTATTTATTTTCATTTTTTTTAAAGGGATTATTACCCCAGAAAGCGATCCACCAATCAACTAACAGCTGGGTTGCTACTTACTGCTAGGTAAACAGAGGTGGGTGCATATAAAAACTTGCCCACGTTTCACCCTGCCCAGGAATTGAACCCAGGTGCTCTCGCTTATTGACCTGAAAAGGGTAAAGAACTGAGCAGCCCAACTGGGATTAGTAGCCATAAGTGAGCATCCCACTTCATCGTACAACCAACTGAGCTAATATGGCTGTTGGACTGTCACCTTTTTCAGACATTTTTGTTTTTCATATGAAGTGTCATATCTGAAATATAAATAAAATGTATTTCTTTAAAATGGAATATTTGTTCTTTTGATTCTCTTATCCTGATGACATTGTCAATATTTAGTGGAATTCCTAAAAAGTGTTGGTGAAAATGAAATAGGTATTAGCCTGGCATAGTTAATAACACTCTTGCCTCTAAATCAGCATTTGTGGGTTTAAACCCGATTTTGTGACTTGAAATTCACAGTCTAGGCTAGCACTCCAATGCAATACTAGGCGTATGCTGCAATGTGAGAAGTGCCATCCTTTGAATGAAAAGATAAACCACGGTCCAGGATGTCTATTAAGGTGGACGTTAAAGATCCCATGACATCATTTGAAAAGAGAAAGGAGTTCCTCCTGGCCTGGTCAACAATAGCTCACATAAAAAAATGTCCATTCACTTCATGACACCTGTATATGGGACATTGTTGTGCATTGTTGGCTGCCATGTATGCCTACAAAATATACAGTCACAGCACTTTACAGTGAAGCAGTTTCAAATGTCCTCCTGATGTGAAATGAACTACAGTGGAAGCCTGTTAAACCGGACACATCGGGGATGCCGAATTTCTGTTGTTGTTGCTGGTGGTGATCGGAGGCCGAAATTCCCGAAGATCTCTTACCTTTTCCTGCCCAGCGCCAGCGTTCCTCCCTCCCATTGATGCTCCCGTTGGATGGGAAGCAGATCAGTTAGAGGCATCTTAGAGGTGATTAACAGCACTAACAGGATAGGTTAACCGGCATCTGCCTAAAGCGGATTCCAACATTATATCCATTGCAAAGTGTAATCAGGTGGGAAATATTCTTGTGTTTATCAGGTGAACCATGTTAATCCCGGGGAATGAAACCCTTTTCTACTTGGGTCTCCAGAATCACTATCAAGCCCGGTGAAACTGCTTCTGTTTTACTTCAAGAGCAAACCTTATCCCCAACATAAGAGGAACATCGCTCCTACACCACTGTGAATACTTTCCCTACCAGACATCTTTATGCCTAACTGAATGTCAATTTAATGCAAATATATGACCAGGTTGATGCCTTAGGCATAGCCCTACTGAGGACTGAATGGAGACTGTCTGGACTCCGGTAGGTTAACACAGAGAGAAAACGTTCACCCTATCAGCCTGCACTCAATTCTAACCCAGGTCCCAAAGGTAAAAAGACTGTACCATAACCCACTATGCCCCATTAATTTAAAGCACCTTAGGTTGATGAATCTATTGCTGTTGATAATAATTCATCTTCCTTGTACTGTCAAGCTTAGTAACCCTTCCAATCCACATCTCCACTAATGTCATCAGCATTAATTATGTAAAGAAGTAAAAGAGATAGAAACAAAGGAAAGGATGGGCAGGTCAAATTAAAACATCTTAAAGCACATCACAAAAAATTACTATCAAACTTATAATTATTTTGGTGGATGTTACAAAAAGGATGCTCATTATTCATTTTAACTTAATTAATTCGGGATGTTAAAATGGTGTTGATAATGAAACTTCCTCTTTAAAGAAATGGCACGTACATTGCTCAACTAAATGTTTTCGTTATTATTACTGTTAGCAACAGCAGTTGGAATATGGTTGATGAAATGGGTTGAGTTTCATGTAGTGTAACATTGCTCCCGGAACAAAATTGCCAACATCCCTCTGTGGCTCTGCATTTGTTTTTCCAACACACTTCACACTCATGGCGTGTTTAATTTGACATAAATCTCTATTGAGCAGATTTACAATGTTACCTGGAAGCGTCCCATCATACAGCCATCAATATACAATAGTAAATGTTGGGGTGGCAATAAGTGGGAAATAAATAAAGGACACAATAAAAAAAACTGTACTGATGATAAGGCCTGTTATTTCAATAAACATTCTTTACTGTAAACCTGGATTTTTTTTGAAGTGAAAGGTTTCTTCTCAGAGCTTGGAGGGTAATTCCATCATTTGATATGGTGCTGAACCACAGAAATAGTAAAGGTCTTCAGTGCAAAGAGAGGGGATGCTAACCAGATGGGGGCACTACAATAGGCCTGAATGGTCTTGAGCTAGAATGATTGCCCAGGGCTTCCAAGCTAACTCAATCCAACTAAACCTCTGCTGGAAATACGTAGACACAGTTGCCAAGTGAAGATCAGGTTGGGTTACAATGCTTTGCACAATCTAATAACTGGTGCTTGCTGCCGAGACTCACACATGAAGAGACACTTGGGCAGGTAGCAGAGCATTGCTGCCACCTGTGAAATGATACCTCAGCATTTGTCACCGTCTTCAGGAAAGGACCAAAGTCATTGGAAAGAGAACGAGAAGCTCATAGCTGTTATGAGCTGTTATGGATAGCTAAAAGGACGAATATGCAGATCTCACATGCAATGCAGTATGTATATGTTGTAAAGCAGCCTAAAGCAGAGGAGCTCCAGCAATATGTCCTGTCACAAATCCAAAGCCATTCACTCCTTTCAAAAAGAATAATGTGAATGATCAGAACAATTATATTGTCTCTGTATTCATTGTACTTTGGTGGTAGGAAACGATTCGAACAATTCATGAAAATGGGCTTGTGACAGTTCAGTCCACAAACGTTTCACTCCTGATCTGCCAAAGATGCTAATATATTCACCAGAAGCCTGTCTCATGGAGATAACTGAACAGAAAAGGATTCAGCGCCCACTAATCTCTCAGAGAGCAATTTCTGATATAAAGGGTATAATTTTTTTTTTGGTGGGGGCGAAAGCCCTTGATCAGACAATAAGAAAATAATCCGACTAGTGCTAGGTTGCTATGGCGCAAAATGCTTGAAAAAAAATCATTATGCATTTTTGATCTAGCTATCCCAGGTGCAAAATACATTAAGGGTTCAAGTCGCACCTGCTTTCTGTGCTAACGCCAGCAGGCTCTCGGCACTCAATCGCTGCCTTTGTCAGCTACATTAGCTTGCCCACTTCTGGTTAATTTCACTCGCCAATGGCCAGATGCTTCCTTTCTCTCTAAGAAAAATCAATACGGTGGCAATGATTTTCACAGCATCCTGATCCCCATCCAGTACATTATGCAGGCTGGAATTGGAATTGTTTCATTTTAATACTCAGTTTTCTGGTTCTCCCCCCCCCCCCACACCCCTTTAAACAAAAAAATGGTCCTTTCTGCAAATGGAACAAACACTTGTTCTGTTAGTAGGCTTGTGTTTTTTTGTTTAGAGGGATATTTAATCCTACGATCCATTCAGAAACCTGCGCTGAAAGTCTTAGCCACCATCAACACTGCAAAGATACATGTCATTTCGGATCTCAGTGCAAGTTAAACATTAGAGTCTGTTTCAATGCTACACACACACATATACACACACACACTCACTCACACACACACATACACACACTCATATATGCACACACACACTCACACACACACTCATATACACACTCATATACACACACATACTCACATACACATATATACATTCACACACACATTCACACATAAACACACACACACTCACACACACATACACTCACATACACACACTCAAACACACATAGCACAGCCAAATCCGATGTATGACCACAACTCATCTTTAAAAGACAATTTTAGTTTTTTTGGGGGGTTGGGGGGGTCATCCGCTTCTTTCATCTCAAAAGATCAACTGTGCAATGAATGGGCATCGCTGGTCTTTAAACACTTGGTCAAAGGCCAAACCGTGTTGCTGGTCATTGGCACTTAAGTCGTTTTACAGAAGAGGGATTCCAAGCATCCCACTCAGTGACAGAGAAATGCACCACACAATCAAACAAACAAACAAACAAAAACACTTGAGATTTGCAGCACAATTGCTCAGGCAATTGAATGTGACCCCCCCACCCCCCACCCCAGCCCCAACCCCACCCCCAACTGCAACGGATCCATGTCCAACGCAAACTTCAGATCGTAGAAGAACATGATTTATTCCTATTTTATATTGAAAACAATCTCTGTGTTCCCCCCACACACCCCCCCCCCACACACACACACACAGCAACGAGGCAAATCGTGATGAAGTGCAACAAAGACTGGAGTGAGTGATGAGTGTGTGAGTGTGTGGGGAGGTGTGGGATAACACACTAATCGTGAGAATGAAATGGTGCGGGAGGGGAATAGATAGATACCCCCCCCCCCAAAAAAAAAAATACTAGGGCACTGTGCTTCCTTGTGGGGCATCCATCCCCACACAGTTACACTGTCACCCACACTGTGCGCCAATGCCCAGCTCCATTATTGCTGAAACTCGCCCAACATCACGCAGTAAAAGTGCCCACAACTCGCTCGGGAACGCGCAATCAAACCAGCGAAAGGAAGGCAGGTTTGAGCAAACAAACAAACAAACAACAAACAAATAAACAAACAGACAGACAAACAAGCAAACAAACAAACAAATAAAACTAACAGCCCACTCGCTTTCTCCCTTTTGTTCAGTCAATGCAAAGTACTTCACATGTATGCCACAACGTACCCTCTTGATTACTATCACCCAAACACACCCAGATTGCTGCATATATATATATATATATATATATATATACACTGTATACAAACGCAGCTACTCAGTATCAGTCAGTAAGTACAATAAATAGGGAGGTTTAATACTCACCAGCTGTAAAGTACACAGAAATATTAAGGTGCATCGACCTGTGCAGCAACCCATCTCAGCCAGGGCAAGGTACTGGGAGAAGAAGGCAATGGGATCCGTGTCCCCCCCACCACACACACACACCCAGACACACACACCTACACACACACACACACAGACACACACCCACACACACTACACACACACACACAGACACACACACACACCTACACACACACAGACACACACACACACACAGACACACACACACCTACACACACCTACACACACACAGACACACACACGCCGGCCAAAGGGGAAGCAAGGAGTCTATGAGCTGGATGGAGAGGCTGGTGTGAAGTGGCACTCCATACACACAGCACAGGATGCACAGGAGAGGACAGGGTGGGAAAAGGCTGTGTGAAACCTCACAGCACAACACGCAGAGCAGCGCTGAGCAGAGTCTGGATGAACAGTCCGGGCGTCACTCTCTCTCTCTCTCTCTCTCTCTCTGTTGATCGCTTTGTGATCGCACGGGCGCTGCACAGGCTGTGATGTGCAGTGAGGAAATGGGACGGCGGGGAGGGGGGGGGAGGGGGGGGGGGTGTAGGGTCAGGGACTGGGTCACACAAAGTTGAACCGAGTTGGTGGGATTTTCTCAAACGTGACTCGGTCGGTCGGTCGGATCCGGGCGGGACTGTTGCGGGAGGGTCTTTGTGCGGGTCCTGGAGGATCGAGGGGTTTACAGGGACGGGGGGACTGGGGATTATGTAGGAAGAGAGGGGATTGGAGGGGCTCGAGGTCTGGGATTCGTGGGAACAAAGGATCAATGCAACTAACATTGGGGTGAGGGAGGGGGGCAGAGAGGGGCATTCGGACCGGGTGAGTTGTGGAGGGTAATTGGGCAAAGGGTGAGGTTTGTTTGGGGGTTGGGCGTGATGTTTGGGATCGCCTACATTAAAGATCCAATGGCACGACTTGAGAAATGAAGGGAATTTCTCCCCATGACCTGGCCAACAATCCCCCAGATAAAATTGTTCATTTACCCCATGGCTGCTTGTGGAACATTGCTGGAGGAGTGGTGGGAGGAGGGGAAAATGTGGAACAAGAGACTTCCAGAAATTAGAAACATAGCTGCTAATAATTATGATCATTTTACAATCATAGTATCTGTCCATCTAGGACTCTTTCTCCTTCATCTCCACCCCCACCCTAAATTGTTTATGCCGTTGGTTGAGGATATGTCTATAAATCCTCCACCAAAGTTTCAGGGTTGAGGTTGTGTTTGTCTATAGCTCAAGTAAGATTGATGAGCCCAATAGATTGGGTGGTCAACAAAAAGGCTCTGAAATGCAGCATTCACAACAGAATTCATAAATAATGAATTGTACAGGTAACCAGATGTGTGTCAAGCTGCTTTGATACAAGTTCATTCTAAGCATAATGGAGCAGCGTTTCACCAAGTTGGGCTGATGCACATCTTGCAGGATTTATTATTTATGAATTATTTTAGAACGCTGATACAATGCTGCATTGTAACTCCTCATCCCCATGGTTCGGGTTGTTATCTATTTTTTGGAGCCAGTTTGTTACCAGAGTAGGATTTTTTTAAAGACGTGATCAGTTTATAATAAAAAGTGATCCTTGCATTTGACATCGCACCTTACGGCATCTTCAAAATGTCTCAAAGCGCTTCATAGAATATACTGCAAAGTGAATTGATTGTATATTTTGTGGTCGAAACTCGCAGTCAATTGCACACAGCAGTGTCCCACAAACAGACGTGGATTGAGTGACCAAATTATTATTATTATTTATTTTCATTTTTTTTAAAGGGATTATTACCCCAGAAAGCGATCCACCAATCAACTAACAGCTGGGTTGCTACTTACTGCTAGGTAAACAGAGGTGGGTGCATATAAAAACTTGCCCACGTTTCACCCTGCCCAGGAATTGAACCCAGGTGCTCTCGCTTATTGACCTGAAAAGGGTAAAGAACTGAGCAGCCCAACTGGGATTAGTAGCCATAAGTGAGCATCCCACTTCATCGTACAACCAACTGAGCTAATATGGCTGTTGGACTGTCACCTTTTTCAGACATTTTTGTTTTTCATATGAAGTGTCATATCTGAAATATAAATAAAATGTATTTCTTTAAAATGGAATATTTGTTCTTTTGATTCTCTTATCCTGATGACATTGTCAATATTTAGTGGAATTCCTAAAAAGTGTTGGTGAAAATGAAATAGGTATTAGCCTGGCATAGTTAATAACACTCTTGCCTCTAAATCAGCATTTGTGGGTTTAAACCCGATTTTGTGACTTGAAATTCACAGTCTAGGCTAGCACTCCAATGCAATACTAGGCGTATGCTGCAATGTGAGAAGTGCCATCCTTTGAATGAAAAGATAAACCACGGTCCAGGATGTCTATTAAGGTGGACGTTAAAGATCCCATGACATCATTTGAAAAGAGAAAGGAGTTCCTCCTGGCCTGGTCAACAATAGCTCACATAAAAAAATGTCCATTCACTTCATGACACCTGTATATGGGACATTGTTGTGCATTGTTGGCTGCCATGTATGCCTACAAAATATACAGTCACAGCACTTTACAGTGAAGCAGTTTCAAATGTCCTCCTGATGTGAAATGAACTACAGTGGAAGCCTGTTAAACCGGACACATCGGGGATGCCGAATTTCTGTTGTTGTTGCTGGTGGTGATCGGAGGCCGAAATTCCCGAAGATCTCTTACCTTTTCCTGCCCAGCGCCAGCGTTCCTCCCTCCCATTGATGCTCCCGTTGGATGGGAAGCAGATCAGTTAGAGGCATCTTAGAGGTGATTAACAGCACTAACAGGATAGGTTAACCGGCATCTGCCTAAAGCGGATTCCAACATTATATCCATTGCAAAGTGTAATCAGGTGGGAAATATTCTTGTGTTTATCAGGTGAACCATGTTAATCCCGGGGAATGAAACCCTTTTCTACTTGGGTCTCCAGAATCACTATCAAGCCCGGTGAAACTGCTTCTGTTTTACTTCAAGAGCAAACCTTATCCCCCAACATAAGAGGAACATCGCTCCTACACCACTGTGAATACTTTCCCTACCAGACATCTTTATGCCTAACTGAATGTCAATTTAATGCAAATATATGACCAGGTTGATGCCTTAGGCATAGCCCTACTGAGGACTGAATGGAGACTGTCTGGACTCCGGTAGGTTAACACAGAGAGAAAACGTTCACCCTATCAGCCTGCACTCAATTCTAACCCAGGTCCCAAAGGTAAAAAGACTGTACCATAACCCACTATGCCCCATTAATTTAAAGCACCTTAGGTTGATGAATCTATTGCTGTTGATAATAATTCATCTTCCTTGTACTGTCAAGCTTAGTAACCCTTCCAATCCACATCTCCACTAATGTCATCAGCATTAATTATGTAAAGAAGTAAAAGAGATAGAAACAAAGGAAAGGATGGGCAGGTCAAATTAAAACATCTTAAAGCACATCACAAAAAATTACTATCAAACTTATAATTATTTTGGTGGATGTTACAAAAAGGATGCTCATTATTCATTTTAACTTAATTAATTCGGGATGTTAAAATGGTGTTGATAATGAAACTTCCTCTTTAAAGAAATGGCACGTACATTGCTCAACTAAATGTTTTCGTTATTATTACTGTTAGCAACAGCAGTTGGAATATGGTTGATGAAATGGGTTGAGTTTCATGTAGTGTAACATTGCTCCCGGAACAAAATTGCCAACATCCCTCTGTGGCTCTGCATTTGTTTTTCCAACACACTTCACACTCATGGCGTGTTTAATTTGACATAAATCTCTATTGAGCAGATTTACAATGTTACCTGGAAGCGTCCCATCATACAGCCATCAATATACAATAGTAAATGTTGGGGTGGCAATAAGTGGGAAATAAATAAAGGACACAATAAAAAAAACTGTACTGATGATAAGGCCTGTTATTTCAATAAACATTCTTTACTGTAAACCTGGATTTTTTTTGAAGTGAAAGGTTTCTTCTCAGAGCTTGGAGGGTAATTCCATCATTTGATATGGTGCTGAACCACAGAAATAGTAAAGGTCTTCAGTGCAAAGAGAGGGGATGCTAACCAGATGGGGGCACTACAATAGGCCTGAATGGTCTTGAGCTAGAATGATTGCCCAGGGCTTCCAAGCTAACTCAATCCAACTAAACCTCTGCTGGAAATACGTAGACACAGTTGCCAAGTGAAGATCAGGTTGGGTTACAATGCTTTGCACAATCTAATAACTGGTGCTTGCTGCCGAGACTCACACATGAAGAGACACTTGGGCAGGTAGCAGAGCATTGCTGCCACCTGTGAAATGATACCTCAGCATTTGTCACCGTCTTCAGGAAAGGACCAAAGTCATTGGAAAGAGAACGAGAAGCTCATAGCTGTTATGAGCTGTTATGGATAGCTAAAAGGACGAATATGCAGATCTCACATGCAATGCAGTATGTATATGTTGTAAAGCAGCCTAAAGCAGAGGAGCTCCAGCAATATGTCCTGTCACAAATCCAAAGCCATTCACTCCTTTCAAAAAGAATAATGTGAATGATCAGAACAATTATATTGTCTCTGTATTCATTGTACTTTGGTGGTAGGAAACGATTCGAACAATTCATGAAAATGGGCTTGTGACAGTTCAGTCCACAAACGTTTCACTCCTGATCTGCCAAAGATGCTAATATATTCACCAGAAGCCTGTCTCATGGAGATAACTGAACAGAAAAGGATTCAGCGCCCACTAATCTCTCAGAGAGCAATTTCTGATATAAAGGGTATAATTTTTTTTTTGGTGGGGGCGAAAGCCCTTGATCAGACAATAAGAAAATAATCCGACTAGTGCTAGGTTGCTATGGCGCAAAATGCTTGAAAAAAAATCATTATGCATTTTTGATCTAGCTATCCCAGGTGCAAAATACATTAAGGGTTCAAGTCGCACCTGCTTTCTGTGCTAACGCCAGCAGGCTCTCGGCACTCAATCGCTGCCTTTGTCAGCTACATTAGCTTGCCCACTTCTGGTTAATTTCACTCGCCAATGGCCAGATGCTTCCTTTCTCTCTAAGAAAAATCAATACGGTGGCAATGATTTTCACAGCATCCTGATCCCCATCCAGTA